ACATGCTGTGCCACTGGATGCCAAAACCACAGACTAGCTCTGCTAAGTATTTGCAGCACTCTTTCTGCATAAATCCATATGTTCTCAAACAAAATCTTTTCTTCTATAAACAAATTGATTTGAAATATGAAGGTGTCACAGTCAACCTTTCTTCACAGTGCATTGGTATAAAGCTGCCCCTATCTACTTGGATTTCAAAGCTTTATTTATTGCCTTAATTTATGAAAAACAGAATAGTTAGGAGTCTCAAAAATTAAATTTACTGCAGAAAGTAGTATTCTTCAGACATGTAATCTTTTTTATATTCTTGAATTCTTTTTCTCCCTTGACTTCCCCTCATCCAAGCTCTTCCCAATTCCATCAAGTCACCTCACTCTTTTGCTACCTGAATGATATCTTTCTTATTTATCCCTGTCTCTATGGTATAAATTTTTGGAAATTTGGAATTTTCAAATATAAAAAAAATTTCAGAGGATTTTTGCCTTTCTTTCAATTACTCTCATTCAAACATTAATCATATCTGATTGCATGGATAATTTACAGAACTCTATCTCAATATCATCTGTCTCTATATTCAACACCTGGCATAGATCACTAAGGGTATCTAAAATGCCTAAAATTCCATCCTGCCAAACAGAATTCATTATTTCCAAAACGCCTTCTTGCATCTGAAGCCCTCTTTATGTCTATGATAGCATACTGTCCTATCCTCCCAATCTTCTTTGAACTTGTTTAACTTGTTTAACCTTACAGCAAAGCTAAAAATTGTCAAGAACTTGCTGTAATTATGTGGCTACACTTATGAATCTTTTTAAAAATCATTATGAAAAAGTTTCAGCATAGATTATACACTAGAGAATGCTATCCATGAATCTTCTCAGAAGGTTGTCAGATCTTAATGTCTGCCCTGCCTAAGAGTCAGAGTCGTTATTGCACTTTACCTAAATTATATCTTTAAAAGTTGAGGAATATTTGTATATTCTAATCTTAATGCCTAAACTTCTATATCAGTTGTAACTACTTTTATGCATTTGATGTTCAACATTTATGTTTATCATTTATGTTTAGCATTATCCACAGAATATATAACAAGTGTTAACATGTTTTTAATTTTTTATTAAATGTTATACATATCTTCTTTCATGTGGTCTACAAATTATGCTATTTATATTTATTTATGCTGATACCTACATTTCTAGTTTGTTAATTATGATGCCATTATCAAACAACATTTCATCAATTTCATTTTAGAGAATTTATTTGTTAACTTTAAATTTTGTGGGGGTGCTGGAGATTGAACTCAAGGGCACTTGGACCACTGAGCCACATCCCCAGCCATATTTTATATTTTATTTAGAGACAGGGCCTCACTAAGTTGCTTAGTGTCTCATTTTTGCTGAATCTGGCTTTGAATTCGTGATCCTCTT